AACAATTAAGGATGCCAATGGGGATCACATTTTTAAGTACACATGGCTATTTTAAGTTTCCAATGAAACATCAGCTGCTAATAGAATGATTCTTATGGGAAATGCTTATTCGAATGGTTAGTTACATGGTTTGTACTTGAAAGCAATAAAAGCGCAGGGTGAAAAAAATTTTTTTTTCTTATTTCCCAACAATTTTTATTAGCTTACTTGTGAAATTACCCAGGTTGGAAGACCTCTCCTCATTAAAACAAGGTGGCTTGGCGTTACTGAAATGAAGCTTTGGGTCCGATGTACAAGCCGATTGTAAGTGGGGATGACGGATTGGATTTAGGGGGAGCATGTCTAGTCTGTTTCCTCATTAGAGGGCATCGGACAGCAGTCAGTATAAACTGCTTCTTTCAAGGGGAGGGAAAGCTGAATGCGAAAATTACTTGTGACAGAATTCATAGACCACTCACTGGGACCCCACACCAAATTTCACGTCCCTGAGAAGACAATGGGGGAGGAGAGGGGACCCCGGAATGCTAAGCTCCCGGGCAGCATTCAGGTAGAGGCAGCAACTCCTCTGCCCTTCTTCCTTGCCTCTGTCAAGGTCTGGAGTTGCCCCAGTGGGAGCTGCAGTTGTTTCCTGTTTACCAGAGGAAGCGTCCTTGGATAAAGCTGTTGACTCCACTTCCAGTGTATCCCACACTTTTCTCTCCCACACATCATTTTAGTATTTCCCCAGGTACTTCCTTCCAATGCGACTGGCGAAACTTGGTCAAAGGAGTGGTGTAGAAAGCTCCACTTTGTCCTACAGGAAGCAGCTGTGCATTTACAAGCGCATGTAAATAGGTCACAGGGACAATCCCAACAGGCTCTTTTAATTTGGGAATCAAAAGAATTGTATAAAAAACATTATTTTCCCAAACTAGAGTGAAGATTACCACCCCCACCCACCACCACCCCCATTTCAGGTCTTGGTTAGCTAGAGGAGAAGGAGCTGGTTCCTAAATCCCTGGAGTGGTGCACCCAATGTGACCTGTCCAACAGCTCTCAGAGGGACAGGGCCTCAGCGCTCCGGTCGGCACCTTCAGGGTCCTGAAGGTTTGCCAAGCATTGGCGGTCTGCGAGCCAGACATCGACACTTCAGCAGCCTCGGTTATGTAATGGTAAAGTTTATTTCGTGTTGAATAACAATTAAGGGGCGAAAGAGTTAAAATTTGCCGTTTAAAACATGCACATTCACAAAAGGCCGATGACAGGTAACACTGCATAGAACTGAATGTTACTCGACTTTGAACAACTACTGATAAAACACAGTGCATCTTGGAACACCGAGAGGCCAACCTGAGGAAGCTCCGGTAGTCACAGGTTCAGCTCTCACACGGGTCCCTTCGTAATTAGTTGCAGCAGGAATGTTTTATTTCCCGTCCCTCCCCCGCCCGCCAGGAGAACTGAAAATTCGACTTTATCTTTAAAACAAACTAGCTTCCCATAGCAGCTGCCTCCCATGCGGCCACTTCTTTTTCCTTTCCTCTAATACATGGAGCATGTGCGAGAGGAAGCTAACCAACCAACAGTATTTAGCGCACGTATGGCGTCTGTTCTAGAACCATGACACAACACCCCCCCAAAAAAAACCCACCCCCCCAAAACCTTGATGATTTCTTTAAGAGGCTGCTCACCTTTCCAGGGGCAGATTTACCTATAGGATGTTGCTCTTAATTCAAAGCAAGCACATAAGAAACCTAGCTCCCCCCATATCCCCGCCCCCTCCTGACCTCTTTAAGAGAGACTTATTTTCAGAGAAGTTTTGTGAGCTTTGTGAAGAAAAAGTTCTTAGAGGAAAGGTAAATGAAGATTGAATTAAATTTGTTCACATTTGTTTTTTAAATAATTTACTTATATATATAGATACATAAAGATGTACAGAAGACCAATTCATTTGGCCACTCTATATTACATCCCAGGTAGGCCTTGATAGAATCTAGAAGGCAGAAATAAACATCAAGATTTACAGCAAGAGCCATGCATTGGCCTCGATCACTTTTAAATATTAATTCATGCAAACCATAAACCCATCAAAAGCACAGCTGCTCACATACAGAAAATAAATCAAGACGAAAAATGGAAAACATTCATTTCCTTTCCTTCAAAATGTATCTCGCAGTCAATTTTAATAGCTGTTGAAGGTTAATAGAAATGCAGCACAGTGTTTAAGTTTCACAAGTGACATTAATTATTTTAATGTGAGAAAAAAAAATTAGACTTCGGTACCTTTAAGAGGCATTATAGGAATGGCCACCATGAAAAAGCACTTACTCGGCACCGAATTCCACGGCACTACAGTAAGTCATTTATAGATTGAGCTCCACAGCACCTGGCCCATGGGATGGGAATAGGGTGGGCATGTACTTGACATTTTAGAGAAGTCTTTTATAAGATCTTAAAAGTACAGAAAGTTTTAAAACCAGGAGCTATCAAAGGGCATCTGCACAAAAATAACCACTTGCGAGTGTGCAGCTTTGTAATAATTTTGACACTGCTATAAATGAATTAAACACCATGACCACACCATCGTTACTCTTCTGACTAGCCCTCACTTCCTGAAGCAGACCAACACTGCACACAACAACGTGGCACAAACTGCTCGTGGCTCCCATCGCTGAGGCTTGGAGGGCTGACATTCAGTGAGCAGAATAAATGCTGCTTGCCTCCTCTATTTCAGTTTTCCCTCGGCAATGAGAAAGAATCATTGACTCCACACAATGCAGGTAGTGGCTAGCATCAGTTAGCAATGTACACCTGGCTTGAAGCCGACAATGTCTTCCCTGCAGTTAGCAACAGAGCTGACAGGAGTCTGGTGCCCGTGTCACATTTCAAATTCACTACCTTCCTGAGAAACACCATTTCCCTCCTCATACTTTCTACCCCACATAATTTCTCTCTCTGGGTGTGAGCCCCCAGGATGCTTTTAAATGTACGTAGAACATTTAGAACGTCCCACTAAGTACTCCTCAATATTAAGGGGGCCACCTCCAGCTTTGAGGGGCTGAGCGAGCATTTTCTACCATCAGTGATTTTCTGAATTGTAAACATTGTAAATCGATGGTGTTAGCATTTGTGAGTCTTACAAGGGCCTTTTCAATGGCTGAGTGCTTGCCCTTGACGAAGGAGCCCCGTGGCACGGTGGTTTAAGGAACCCCGTGGCATGGTGGTTTAAGTGCTCAGCTGCAAACCCACCAGTGGCTCTTCCCCAAGAGAAGTGGGGGCATCTGCTGATGCCAAGATGACGACTTTGGGAACCCTGGGGTGGGGCGCTGGGAGGGCCCTTCTCCCCTGTCAGGTAAGGTCACTGTAGGGTTGTGTCAAACTGCAGTGGGTCTGCAGTGGGTGGGCGGCCTTTTAGAAAATACACACTGAACTTCACTTAAACGCTTTAATTCTGGTAAAATTGTGTTACATATTCCCCCTTAGGAAGGCTAGCCCCCGACAGACAGACAGACAGACAGACAGACAACAACCCCCAGGGGCTTTTCTCTCATTTAAATGAACACTATTCTAGCGTTGCAGTTGCAATGTCGTATTTTAAGTTTCACCACGGAGTCAACCTCCTCTCCCGCCCCACCCCACCGCCACTCCAAGAAACAAAGATTGACTTCATGTTGACAAAGCAAAAAAAGAAAAGGAGCTTATGGGACAAAAGGTATAGAGAAGTCACACTTCTTATCATGACCGACACACGATTAACCACGAGTCTTCCACTCACGGTTGACCTCCAGAGAAAGAACACGTTTTAAGATACAAGTAATATATTCAGTTTTCTTAAGTCGGGGATGTGGTCTTACTGTGTTACAACACGCTGATGCTGGGATGTGGGTCCAGGTGGTGGCCACGGGGGCTCTTCTCTGCAGGGTGAATTTCATCCTTGCTCTTCCGTCTAGGGTTTGACTTTGAGACTGTCACTTCTGGGGGGCATGAACAAGCTATGCACCGTTTGGTACAGAATCCGGGTCTCTGAGGTCAGACTTTGGAGCGGGGGTCTTTGATTCTTACATCTGTGGCCTGGCTACCTTTTTTGACTCAGGGTTCTCTCAATCAGACCCCCAAATGGAAAAGGCCTGGAAAGTTATATATATAAACTCCTCCTTCTCTTTAGGTTACAGTCCCATAGGTTCCCAAACTTATGCGTCCTACCCTTGCCCCCCTTTTAGGAATAAATTACTCAGCACCCATCCCCCCTCGTAATGAAAAACGGCTGTACTATAGCCCATAGTCCAGGATAAAGTGTAGGTATTTGCTTTTGCAGCCCCATCCCCCATCCCCACCCTGCACCACAGACTGCTCCAGTGCTCCCCAGGGGGCAGTATCTCCCACTTTGAGAAACACTAAGTTAGACTCATGTGTACAATATGACCTCTCTTCTTTGTACATAATCTGGGGGCATGACCCCTTTTTTATTGAAGCAGTTCCACCTCACGCTGGTCCCATAGGGCAGAGTAGAAGGCCTCCCAGCATTTCCAAGGCAGTCATGAACGTGGAGGGGCCGTGGGTGAGAGCCGGGCCAAGCTGACTAAGGACTGCACTAGCAAGTCCCCTCATCGGAGGCATACATACCAGTCACCAAAAGGGCTGCACATACAGGAAATGGTGTCTATCGCAAGCTAAAATGTAGATTGAGGGAGAGGGTGAAGAAGAATGCTAAGCGATTCATCTCAAGGGGTGATTTGGAAAACTCACCATTTGATTCCCCGATTTCTTTTTTGCTCTATTTCAAGAGGGAAGTTCTACCACCTATTTTGCTGGTAAGTCCATGTAAAGGCAAACAGGCTTTTGAATAAAAGGCAAAAAGTTTGCATCAATCTCTGAAGTGTATCTGAATATTAGCATCCCCTCCCCTGTCCCCATTTTAAATGAAAGCAGTATTTTAAAAGTAGTGTAGAAAACTGGGTTGTGGTATTTTAAACAGCCCCATCACCAATTATTTTTTGGTACCAAAATAGACATTTGCGGTGGGGGGAGGGTGGGGTGGGGTGGGGGATGTATTGGAAATGCTCCCAAATGATGAAATCAAGTGGGCATTTTAAAATGTATCCAGGAGACCATCTCATGATGAAACAGTGAGAGCAGAGTTCTGGGCTGGAGTAAATTAGGTGAGGTTTTTACACTGGGGAAGAAGTATTACTTATTTGCCCCGTGGAGCCGCCAGTGGCTAATCTGGGGAGCTGCTTGCCGAGTGAGCTGTGAAGGACTGACTTCTCCATCTCCAGAGTTGGGCCAGTCCACGCTAAGCCGGGGCGTGCCACCTACAACGCAGGTGTTTCTAGTACCAGAGCCGAACACACGATCAAAGCTGAGCCTATGCACCTGACCTAAGCCCATGCATCCATCCACGTTTTCCCCAAGCATCTCCACGGAAGCTTTGGAAATCCCACCTGTACCATGTCACCTATTTTTTTCTGAAGAGGGAAAACTCTGAGACAAAAGGCCGCAACTCAAGCTACAGCAGAAGCCAGATATTCTGAAAAAGCTACCGGACAATGGAACCTCATCCGAAATGACCCAGGGGCACAGCTACCACGTGAAAAACCAGAATTGTTCAAGGAAATGACACATGCGCTACCTCACTTGGACAGATCAACAGGACTCACGAGAAAGAAGCATTTGTAAGGCCGAAGGTGCAACAGCACGGATCTTAGTAGCAAATGCCTGCAACACACTCATGTTTTCGCAAATCACTCTGACACTGGAGAAGTCACACATGCAGGGCTCACGGCAGGACTGGAAGGTAGACGTTCTTGGAAATCTCTGGGCAGGTGACTACTGACTGAGAAACAGCCTTCTGAGCTTCTTTGGCAAACATTTATCAAGACCGTTTTTGACATGAACAGTTAACGCCTTGCTTTGAAAACTGCTCAGTGAGGTGAGTCAGTTCCTTAAGAACGCTGGTTGGTTGTTCCCCCCCCTCCCCCCTCCATGCCCCCAGCCAGCATCTCCTGAAATCTAAGTGTGGACATCATCCCTTTCACTTAATACCATGGAGGGTCTGTCAAACACGATTGAGCATCTCCTCAGGTAGGCCCAGGAAATGGGGTGTCTGTAGCCGCCCCAGAGCATGAATACTGACCTAGCCTCAATTTAGAAAGTTCTCTGGCCAGACACAAGGTCATGTTTTGATTTCTGCGTACAAAGACTTGTGAGCAAATATTTCTTCGAATCCAAACGAGATGGTGTGACAGTAGAGTTGCACAGTGCTTAGTCTATAATATACAGGAATCTGAGCAGCCATGAGCCAGAGGAGCTCAGATCCATCTTTGCCTTCATGAACCAGATGGGGCTTGGTCAGCAGAGCCTAGTGGAGATGCTGTGGCTTGTCTGCGAGATGAAGCAGAGCCTGCTTCGCACCTGCTCCGGATCACCACTCATCAGGCCTCTGCTTTGTGGTGTCGTATGCTCTGATCACTTCGGACTGAGAAACGATCCCGTTTTCATCTTGAGAGAAAGCATAGCCATCTGTAAACGAACGGTAAGAGAGACATGATCAGCGCGGAGAGGCTGGCAGGCCCGCTTACTCCGAGCTTTCAGGATTCATTGTCGAACTTAGGAAAGTAACGTCTGCCCCACCAGCCCCGACTGCAAATGGAGACACTGTCTGCGAGGGTCAGCACTGGACTGCAGAAGGCTCCACTGCAGAAGTGAGGAGCCGAGGAATGGTTGCCGGAGACTTCTTTGCAGTCTATGAATTTGGCTCCCTCACTGATGGAGCAGGCCCCCTCGACCCCTCTCGGTTCTCTGTTCAGCATGTCTTATCAAAACCCAATCTCAGTTTTGCTTGCCTCCCACCCCCGCTTGAGAGAGGGGTGTGAGTGGATGTAGTCTAGCTGGTGCATGCAGGTCCATATGCATTTGGTGGTGATGAAGAAGAAATGTAAGTGAGCAGGAGGTCAAAGAGGAGATTAACACACAATGTTTGTTAAAAGGCAGAAAACAGGCTTCTTCCTATGTGGACATGCTTCTTAGCTCTCATCAGCTACCAAGAGATCCATGAATGTCCCAAAGTGGCTTGGAGGGGCCACATGGATAAGAGAAAAAAATTCTCTCTCTCTCTCTCTCTCACACACACACACACACAGACACATACACATGAGGGGCCATGTGGATAAGAGAAAAGAGTGTACACACACACACACACACACACACACACACACACACCCAAAGGGAGCAGGTTCCAAGGCTTGCTTTCTTCACTTTCTGGATCACATCTTTAAAGAAGGCTCCTTAAAGTTTAAAGGGCAAAAAAAATTCAACTTCAGTATACATAAATCAAAGTAAACTATATGGGAAAAACAACATGAAATAAGAGATATATTACCAACCCAAGTCAGATTTACTAGAGGGGCTTTATATAGTGTATTCTTCTTTGAGATCCTTGAACTATTAAGAGGGGGTGATCCCTAATCATTTCTTACAACTCCCAATATTCATAAATACTTTTGAAGGGAAAAATATATGCCTCACTGTGTTGTACAGAAGTTGGAAAAGCACTAGTGAATTTATAAAAGGAGAGAAGATAACACCACCAAGATGGCTTTAAGGGCTAAGATTTATTTTCCTGGAAGCCAGGGCCATGTGGAAATATTATTGTTTTGTTTTCAGTGAAACAGCAAGATTTTAAAATGTTCCATCTCTCCTGTTAAAGGTTAGGCAGCTGCAGCCAATGAATCCTCTAGCCATTTGCTACTTACACACCACGTTGCAAATATGCAAAGACTTGATCGGCCTGTTCAGCTGAAACAGTTTCATATTCCTGAAGCCAAAAGACTGCTTAGGGGACTGCTGCGATACACTTACAGCAAATCCGGTACCGAGAAGCGAGAGCCCAGGTACTTACGGAGCAGGTTTTGCTGCATCGACTCGGATCGGTACAAGTTCACGTGGTTCTTCTTAAAGACATTCTTGAGCAGTTGCGCCCTCTCGGTGAGGCTGCAGAGCAGGTGCAAACGTGTGAAATGAATGATCAGCTCAGCAGGGACCCCAGCCAGCAGGCCCACAGGACCACCAGAGAGAGGCCGGATGTAAACAAAAGACCATTTGAGAAGTCTGCCCAGGAGCCATTCTGTTACAGCACTTTTCCGGCTAGTCAGTGAGATTTCTTATCCCATTTTGCTTTTAGTATCACCCGATCAAAGAAAAATAATGTGTGTGTTTATCAGAAGTTATAAATCAGGTATTCCTACGCGATGTTTGAAGAGTCAGCACAACCCAACTCATGGAAAGGCAAAATATTCCAGCTATGTTATTAACTCCTGAAAATTTAATGGACTTACTACGTCTATTTTAAGCACGGCTATGTAGAACTAAGGAAAAACATAAATATTACTATAGAGATTTCAACCTTTGTAGCCATTTTGTTACACAATGCTTATTTATTCCTAGTTTTCCATGAAAGAAACTCTAAATATTATGAAGACGTATTTCATATGGACTTTTAAATTAGGAACCTTCTATAGCAACTGTAAAAGGGTATGAAATGTGTGCTTAATTTCTTTGTAAACCCCAAAAAGTATTTTTCAGAAAACAGATTTTCAATAAACATTTTCAATCGACTTCTCCACAGATAAAAGCCACCTAATTGTGTAATTTTGAACCAGCACCCAGTAAGAAATTGCCCCTCTGTGTTGTCCACGGCCCACAGAATCATTCCTTGCTCAGTCACCCAGGGCTGTCGAGCTGATTCGAACTCACTGCCACCCAGGGGAGTGCTGGGTAGAGCTCCCCGTCGCATCTTTCTCCAGCCAAGTACCTAGTGGGCTCCGACCACCCACCTTTTTCTTAACCGCTGTGCCACCAGGTCTGTCTGCTCACACAGTAGGGACTCACATGTCTGTCCAGTAAGTCAACGCAGTCATTTGGAAATGCACTTAAGGCCATCGTCAGTCTCAGTCACATCCTTCCTCCGCTGGCCGATTTATTAAAGTTTGCTTTCATATCAAAGGACAGAACTAGGAGGGGTCAATTAATAACCCACAGGCTTTGCAGCCACTGTTTATGCAATTTTGTTTTAATCACTGGAACGGACTCAGATGAAAATTTTTCATCTTGCCTTCTCTCCACTATAAAAGATGTAGTTTATAACTGTGGCGGTGAGTTATGTTCGTTCTAGATTTTGCCAAAGATTTTGAGCCCCTGAAAGGGAACAGTCTGCGTCACACACACACACACACGCGCACGCAAAGAGCTTCTGCAAAATGAACTCAAATGCAACGCAAGCCAAACACGGTGCAGAAAACAGTGAGAAATGTTTGTCGTCAAGTTCCGGCTCGATGCATTTTATTTTAACATGGGGGGGGATGTTAATGGATGCGCCTTATTCGATACACTTTATTGTCAACAAGGATTAGCTACATGAAAGCAAGCAAGCTAATGAATCCCTCCGCCAATGTGTCTGCAAATAGTTGCACACACAGTTCTCTGCAGTGAGGGAAGTGCACAGACAGGGGGAAGGAGAGTGGGCCGGGTTTTCGGAGCCACTCTTTTTACTCTACTCTCTCTTTAAACGATTTAACATTACAGACCCCGGGACCCTGCGGGACATGAAAGTATGCCACTGCGTGGAGGAGGAAGTCAGCCGGTTTAGCAGCAGGTGGCCTGACCTGGTGAGCAGGAGCCCCATGGACTGGGTGCTGCCAAGCCTCTGGCGGCTAATCCCGCAACGACTATAGGAGGCTAGAGGAAGGCAATGTATCATACATGGTCTGGGTCCCGTGCTGGGCTTTCTGAATGCCCGGGCCTTCATATTAAAACACGGGAGTGCTAGGAACCAAACCAAACCAGATGTAAGTGTTGTAGACTTCCTATTAGGATCGCATAGCAATTGAAATATAAAGGTAGTTTTATTTTGTCATGCCTCCTATACGCTTATCGGAGGGAGAACGCCGGTGTTACATCATGTTACTGTCCCATTTTCAAAAGCAAAGCAACAAAGTTAGTCTCTTTCCTGAGAACATACCACACTATTGAGGAGAGCGCAAGGGCTTCAGTGTCTTAACAGATTTAACCTCTGGGTCTGTTCCTGATGAGCTACGTCGTCCTCAGTCATTTCATACATAAGAGGGCAGTGTGTTAACTCTCAGGCCCGCTGTGAAAATCCAGCTCCAGGAACTGCGACTGGCGGGTAGGAAGCACTCAGCAAATACTAGTCCCTCCCACCCTTGCCCCATGATGTCAAGGGATTTTTTATGAAAAAGCAGCTAGGACAGAGATATTCACTGCACAAAAGGTGCTTTGTAAGGGTCATTTTTGATGAGATGTCTACTGCTGCACGTGCGTTTTAATTTATAATGCCCCAACTCCATCTCTGTAATAGAAAAACTCATACATAGGGGGTTTTGTTTTGTTTTGTCTCAGCTCTGTTGAACTTCTTCCTTAGTCTTTGTATAGCAAAGAGCTGCTCCCATGGAATATGAATACCATTCCCTGGAGGGTGCTTAATACATTATTTGTGATGATGAATTGTATTTTTCTAGTCTTATTCTTCCTCTAGGGAACTACCCATCATTTCAAATTCAGGAAATTTTATACCATCAGTGATTATGGGTTGTGATATGACTATCAGGTTACATTATAAAACATACTGGCAACAATGCCATGAAAAGATAAATTCAAAGTTTGTGTTTTGTTTAACAGCCCAACATCGTGTGAGAGGAAATATTTGCAGTAGGCACCAGAGATACTTTCTCACTAAGGCCATTCATACTCCTGACCCTGACCCTTACTCAGTCTTGTATGTACTCTTTTTCGGTTTTTAAAAAACATGATCTGTTTTCAGTGAAAGTATAGAGAGCGAATTCGTTTCCCAGTCAATAAAGACACACTTTTTGTTTTGTGACATTAGTTGCCATCCCCTCATTTTAACAGCATTCTCCCACTTCTTCCCCTTGCCTCTCTTTGCTGCACGCTCCTGACTTTCAAACCTTGATTTTGGGCAAATGCTGGCCTGTTGGTTTCCTGTGATCGATTGTTCCGGGGCGACGTTCCTGCTGGGTGCTACTGTTCACTTTCACGACCTCTCTATTCTTGGGCTAAAAGGTGATCTCTATCAGATCATTCAGGCTGGTCTTTCTCATACATCTGAATTTGGTTCGCCATTGTTCTCCCACTCTCCCTAGGCCTTCTTCTCGTGGCCTCCCAATCAGAGCAGCCAGCCAACAGTCGGCGGACACTTCTAGGCATATGTTCTTTCATTTACACGGCAATTGGCCCCAAACAAACTCACGGCCCCTAGGTTGAAATCCACTCACAATGGCCCTGTAGAATAGGGTAGAACTGTCCCCCAGGGTTTCCAAGAGCATGACTTTTTTACGGGAGTGGGCAGTCAGCCCCATCTTTTGTCTATAGGGTGGTTGGTGGTTTCAAACTGCTAACCCTGCAGTTAGCAGCCCAACTCTTAACCACTAGGCCACCTGGGGTCCATGCCAGCCTGCAAGCCTTTGTAAATTGGGAATTTCCTTAACGTCAATTATGTAACCATCATGACAAATGTGTTACTTATTTTCTAACACCCTAACATGTCATAACTTAGATATTTGATGTTGGTGAGGTCTAAAGATATCATGTCTTAAGACAACACTTGATGTAGAGTGAAAACACTAAGAATAGATAGCGCAGGTAAAATCTTGTTTATTGTCCTGGAATGTGGTATTTTCCGTTATTTCTGAAGTGCAGAAAATTTGCATTTATTTTCACATTGGGTTGATGAGCTATTTCATCTGACTCATTAAAATGGATCTCCAGAAAATAAACCACCACTCCCTCCTGGGATGGTCTCATGTCCATCATGTGAGAGGTATCCTGTAGGAGGTGGTGGTGGTGAGATGAACAACGGCTCTCACAGGCCTGGTCCCTGCCCTGGAGGAGATAACATTTCCTCTTCTGTCACTTTTCATTACAAACGTTGGACAGAGTCATATGGCGGTGATGAGAACAGGCCGAGGGAAATATTTGATATATCTCACTACCCTCAGTCCCCATCAAGATATTTACATAACACGGATCTGAAATCCAGTGTGAATATTGAGAAGCATGGGGTTTTCTTTCTGTCAGCTCTGAGGCAATGCTAAAACTGCTTTTCATTAAGTCAGATACTATGCAGGAAGACGAGGAGAGACCACCATCACCGGCCACATGACCTAATTCCCGCCCACACTCTACTTTCCTCCCCACCTCTTTAACTAAGGTTATGGGCAAGGAAGGGTAATGGCCCAGGTCAATGAAGATTGATTTGAAGGGTTTGTGCGTAAATTATACTTCACAATGGTTGATTCCAAGTTGCTGGCTAATGTCTACAGTTAGAAATAATAATAATGATGATAATAACAAAATACTAGTTTTTTTTACCGTATCTGTCAGATTGCCTCAAATTCATAAAGAAGGCATTCAAAGTTAACTGCTTTGTCACCAATGAACTCACAAATGCCCATGCTCCCTTGTTTTAAACGATTTATTTTTCATAAAGTATACATTTTGAAAAATTCATACTTTGGATGTAAAATGTATAAATATTTACATTAAATGAATAAACACAAGCTATAAACAACCTTATGTATATAGTACTTATTATATTATAAATAGTACAGATTTTCTGGCAAATGCTTGCTACAAACTTGTCCAGAAAGAAATCAAATGTCTCATTTCTTTGGACAATGGAATGTAGATGCTGCTGTTCCCTGGTGCGGAAAGACCTGGGTTTACTTGTGAAATAAAGCTGTAAGTTTTGCTTTAGGAAGACAAAGAGTGTGTGTGTTTTCTTGCCCATTACACTAATGGTCATCTTATTAAATGTTAAAGAGCTATCGGTAGAAATTACAAATAAAACTCAAATAAGACAAATGTTTACTGACTCCAAGCAACTCTCTAGGCCTAGATGGAATTGCCCTCGTGGGTCTACGAGAGTGGGATTCCCCAGCGGAGTAGAAAGGCTCATC